ATGTGCGCTTGTGGTCATAATGAATTGATTTATTGGCATTCACTTTTTTTTTGCAGGACATAATTAGTTTCAGCTTGTTTGCAAATTGATTGAGCAGGCAGTTGATTGGAAGCTCATTTATTTATGTCTTCATGGCAACTCGTCTCTCAAAACACTCGCATTATCTATCAATAATTTAATTAATTTTCATTAGGCTCAATTTGCAAATAAACATAGGCACGCAAGAGGCCTCTGTGTGTGTTTGACATACAAATTAAAATAAATGCTATCATTGAAATGCAAATAAATATTAATTAGGATTATATAAACAATCGAACGGAATGTCTACGAATGGGAAAAATATTCTAATTAGAAAAAATGCAGCTTAGCTTTAAGTACTTTCAACAAAAACTAAAATTAGCAAAAAAATATAAATTAAATATAAAAAACAGGCTTGAATGATGCAGTTGTGCCCAACCAACTGCATAATGCTCGTTCACGGTCGACAAGCAGCTGCATTGATAACCAAATTTATAAATGACGAATTTGCCATGCCCCAATAGGCAGAGCATACAATTTATCAGTTTATCTGTTGAAAAGGTTAACTACTAGTGAATGAGATACAATGCTTTAATGCCGAAAAGTCTCTGAATATCTTACCAAATGCGAGAGATGCTCAGAGAGATAAATAATATCAGCTGTAGCGCTCTATGCTGCACAGTCCCTACTTTAGTAATCACTAAAGCAATCCACATATTCATACGAACAAACGGCAAAGCTTGATTATGTAGAAGTTGGCTCTACTCGATTTACTGGTGTTTGACCTTTTCCATAGCTATAAATTGAAATTTCTATAAATTGAGCCAAGATATATTTTCTTCATCATTCAAATACCAAGTCTTCAGCTTCAATTGCATTCATATAGACAAATTGACATTGTTAGTAGCCAAACTACTCCTTTCACTCAGGGCTCACGTAAAAATATTTGCCTTTCATAAAAGATTCAATAGATAGATGGATGTACTTACGTTTTTCAAAATATTTTATTTTACTTACGTATTTTTTTTAGCAACAAAATAAAAAGTACTATATATATTAAATTATTTAAATTTCTCAAAGTCTTGTTAAGGGTTTTCTCATAATTTATCCTAATACCACAAATTTAATTTTTTATTCGGTTTATTTTAATTTCTTTTTAATTACCTGAAATCTATTTAATTTTTGATAGAGTTGCGATATCCTAAGCCATTTGTCTAACGCCAAACATTTGGGTCATAAGCTAAACAAAAGTAAGTCATAATTCTTATCAGCTAAGAAATACTTGAATAAAATCTGAGGCTTTTATTTATGAATGAAAATTTTAAGCTATTTTTTAAGAGATGTTAGATAGATTATATATATAACATATTAAGTATTATATAATAATATTATTCTTATGCTGAAGCTAGAAAATAATACTTAAAATAAATACAAGTACGGCAAAGGAATTATGTTGGTTAGCTTAACTTAAGCTGAGCTCACTTCAGGCAAAAGTTTTAGATTTTGTGGACTTTTGCCAAATTTCCTAACTCTTATCTTTATATTTTCACAATTTGTATGAAAATCTTTTTGGCAAGACATTTTTGACCTCCCATTTGCCTTTAAATCTGTGTTAATTTTAGCCGCATGATTTCATGGACTTTATCGATTTGCCCAAAACAGTTGCCAAAAAAAATAAAAGTTGCTCCAATGCCAGCCGAAGGATGGGCGGCAAAGGGAAAGCTGTCTGGCGCCTGCTGGCGCCGTCTGGACGCATTCTCTTCCAAGGCGAACAAAACAAGTGTAACCTTAACACACGCCGCCAAACAAACAGCCCTCAAACCACAACCACCACCAGCAGCCACCCACCTAGACACGCCCATAGATGCGTTCATTATGTAAGACGAAAACAGTTTTTGGCCGCTGGCAGCGCTGCTGATAAAGCATAAAATTGTCCTTTTTCGGCTTAGTTGAGGCGGTTGCAGCACTCGGAGCACTTGAAGCACTTGGCATATGGTCGCGCAGGCCTTGAGTCAACAACATTAGGCCAAGACAAAGGGCGTTGGGCGTCATAATATGGCGAACACAATGGCACGGATTAAGTGGGTCCACAATGCATCGCTTTGCGGGTTTGTTGCCATTTCAACTAGTCAACGTCCCCGCCTCGACTCTCTCTCCCCGCCTCTCTTGTCCCGAGCAGCTTGTCCTTTTGTCAGAGCTACAATTGTGCTGCTCGGGGCTTGTTGCTGCTTGTTTGTTGCGCTTTTGTGTCGAGTACATGAACATGTGGCTTGTTTGTCTAGTTGCCCCCACTCGCTGCCACAGCGACTGCCCAGAGGCAGCACGACACAATTCTGCAATCGACGACTGCTCGACTTTATAAGCATTAATGCATTCTCCCTTACCCTGATTCGCATCGCAAAGTAAATGCCTTAATGCGCTTATCCTTTTAGCATCAGTTGAGCATTCGATTTACTAAGAGCCAACACCTCGCCCACTCGCCCCACTACAGGCGCCTCTTCGATTCTTTAACAATTGCATTCCCGATCTTTGCCAGCTTTAGCGTTCGTTCTTGTTTCTGTAGTGCAGTGCAAATATTGCCGCCAACATTTGTCAAGCGCGTTGCCGTTGATGCTCTCGGCAGTCGTTAGGTGTGAAAATAATATGAATGCTCCGCTAGCTGCCACACAGTTGACACATATCACGAGTGCGCAGACATATGCAGGCCTGACGAGGGCTGCCACTAATGTTTGTCTAACGCAAAGTTAACTTTTTGCTTTTGCACTTTTGTGAACTCAAAGCGGCACAGCGAATGTTCAGTCTCCACAGTGTAAGCTTGTGCTTTTGTTAGATTTCAATCTACCTGTCTCTACAACAATGCAACTATTTTTCATAGCTATATTTCAGCAGCTAAGTAAGCTATCAGACTAAATATAGCAGTACAGTTATTTCGAATTATTTGCCATTTAATCATGAGTCAATTTGACGCCCATCAGCTGGGCAATGGCATGGCATTAGCTTCAAGTGAAGTTCAAAAATAATCCTAAGACATATGACAACCATAACCATTTCTGTTTTATTACGATTTTATTTGCTATTTATCTTATTTGGTCAAGAACAGGTTATTAAGATCATCAGCCACTCATTTTGCTCCGATTTCCTATGCTTAATACCTGCTGTCTCTTAGCGTCCTGTTCCTATTGTCATCATGCTGTCAAGTCTCTCCTTGACACTAGCAGTCATCTGAACTTCAAGCTGCGCCTCTCCATTTCATTGCCTCATTTGAACAATTTCTCTTAACTCGTTACCATCGTCAACTCTGCTGCCCGTCACATGCTCTGTTCTCTTACTATGATCTAGTCATGTGCCTGAACTATTTCTTTTTTATTGAGTCAACTTTAGCAACCTTTCTTAAGACCCTCGCATAGGTTGCAACTTCAGAGAATTCGGTCGGCCAAGCAGGTTGAAAGCCAGTCAATTTTCGCACGCTCACGCGTCAATGAACGATTTGGTGTGGGCCTCGTTCGGGTTCGTTGACAGCCTGTCAGGCCGTCTGTCAAATATTTGCACAGTTGTTAAATTTCATCAGTGGCGTGTCACGGCTTCACGGCACACATCGACAATTAACCTCATACGTAACGTCAGAGCACAAAAAAATACATACAAAAAAAACTGAGCTGGTGAGTGGTAACAGGAAAAAGGCAAACAACAGCAAACGCCATTTTCTGAGGCGTGGCAGAGCGCAAACTACGCTAATTAACAAGCAATTATAGCGCCCAAAGAACTTGACAAAACACAGCTGTTCTGCTGCCAGCCACATTTTACAACAACAGCGGCTAAAGAAAAACAATTTGGCAACACCATGCAAAATGCAACGCTGCGCATTCAGACAACTTCACGGTGCAAACCACGAGCGGGCAGAGGGCAGCGGGCAGCGGGCAGCAGCTAACGGTAGCGGCAACGGCAACTTCCGCTGCTGCTGCTGCTTATCGCCGCACACTTTGGCAGCAAAGTTTGCTTAATGCTTGATATACATATGCAACATATCTATGTAGGTTTAAATACGATATATATATAGAGTGAGAGAGAGAGCTATAGAGTTGTGTATGGCAGACATGAACGCCATTGTTTATTTAAGCCAATATCCGTTATTTAAGTTGAGCTTCCTTCCGCCAACCATTTGTTGCCGTCGTTATGTTGTCAGCTGCTTGTTTGGCTTTTGTTTGAAATATTTAGCACTGGGTCCAAGTAAACAGCAAAAAACACCGCCTCTATTTGAACAAAAGTTCAACAAGACAAATAACAGTGACAACAACAACAACAACAACAACATATGGCTGCAATGGTCTGGCCAAAGTTTACGAGCAACTAAAGGGAAGTGTGAACTTTTCGCCATTAAATAAAGTTACGGTCACAGTCAGTCAGAGTGGAAAAGTAAGGGCCGGACAGCGCGCGTCGTACGGCACGGACATGCAATAAATTTGCCGTAGAAAATCTTTGTCAAATTTACCATCTCTTTGGACCGCAAATCAATGCAATTGGCCAAACAAAGTGCATTCCAATAAGCGACACATTTACTCGAGGTCAGCAAACACAGAGCAAAGCAGGAAAAAAACCAAAGAAACCGGAAGAGAAAGCAAGAAAAGTCGAATTCCCTAGAAATGTGTGTGCGACAAATGTGCACTGAGTTGTGTGTGATAGACATGTGTGTGTGTGTGTGTAAGTGTAACACAAAGGGCGTAAACGTCAGACATTAACATTGACATCCTACAAATTGCGCTTAAATCGAGCAGCCTGTACTTAAAGTCTTTGATATATTGCACTGACGTCTTTTACCGCTGGCTCGACAATCATGAATGCAAGACTCCCAAAAGGGAATTCGCATCAACAAAGCCAACTGAGCAATCAATTGCTCAGCCCATAACTAGGCAACAGTTAAGAGCTAAGTGTAACTTCAAACAATTCCCAATCAGTTTTAGTAGCCTCACTACGTAGCTGGCAACTTGAACCTTCTGCCTTGTTTCGAAATGGCCGCGTGCGGCAAAGTCAACGCCTGGCCTTGGATCGATGAACTGCCCAGAGATAACAGCGATGTATCATCGGGCAATGAGAGTCAGTCCTCAACCTGCAGCTTAAGCTCCTCGGGTAAAAGCAATCAAGCCGAAAGCGATAAGGAATATATATGCTCCTCGACCAATAAGTATCATGTGAGTGTCATATATTATATATATATATATATATATTGATTTTAAACTCTGCTTCTGTGATTTCTTTAGATTATACGCAAATCCAATTTGAATCGCTTTGTGCAAAAGATTGATAAAACTGCCTCGTTGGATGATCAGGCAGCAGACTTAGTTGCCAAGTGCGCCAATGCATTCGTTAAGGACGTGTCCATGCGTTTAGTTAAGCTAGCGAAATATCGAAATGCAGAGCCTGGTTTATTAGATTTAAAGTTTACGCTAAAGCGGGAGTACAACATGGAATTTCCACATACAAGCTCAAATTGATGTGGATTTTAGTATGAAATTATAAATAAAATAAAAACTTTTTCTAAAAATAAATCTTAAACATATTTTAATCTAAAAATACAAATAAAAATTATATAATAAAAATATATTTAAAAAAAATTTTTTGTATAGTCTAAGTAATTCATGTAAAAATAATAACAAAAGAAATGAATAATTTTTATAAATAAAAAAAGTGTTTGTATATCCTTAAAATACAGCAATAAATTAACAATAATTTTAAGTACATATTGTCTATAAACAATTACAATATTTTATTTTAAAAATATTACTTTATTATATATTATAATATAAATTTTGGCTGAAAATATGCTTATAAAATTCAACATCTTCAAAATTTTATTTATAAATTTTGGCTAAGCTGTGAGAGGTAATCAAAGCAGTCGTATCAACCTGACTTGTTAAATAAAGCTGAAGATAAGATAAAGATGCGGCATGAAAAGGGTTCATGGAAAACTTTGAAGTGCAGTTAAGTTTTTCACATGTAACACTTAAGAGTTGCCGCCATCAATAAACCTAAACAATTTTGCAAAACTTTGCTTAGCTTAAGACATTTACGTCGATTTATGCCAATGATCAACTAAAACTTAACCTGAGCTAAATGAGATGAGTTGCAAGACGTGACGGGGTAGCTCAAGATGCTGACGTGGCAAATTTAAGCATTGTTGCTGGATCATCAGCGGGACAAGTATCTAACGTACGCTATCCAAATTGCGTAATAAACACGGCAGGTGGCAGCAGCTGAAGCTATTTGGTGGCTATTATGCAGCTGCAAATGGCCCAAAAACTTTACCTTTACCTTTATCGTTAACGTGGCTCAACATGTTTTGTGCTAATTAATGTCAAAAGCCGTTGGCAGCAACGATAGCTTGCAACTGGCAGGGGCCATTTTGTTTTGCAACCACACACACTCGCTCGCACACACACACACACACACAGCTAAGCAAGTGAAATTTAAAACCGGAAGTTTATTGTTGCAACAATGGCGCGCGTTTGCAACGGAAACGCCGGCGTTGCCCTGTCGCCTCCATTGCATCCATTGCATCCATGGCTGAAGTGCCCGTTGAAGAATCGCTGGCATTGCCCAAGAAATTGTACAATGGGCAACGCCTGGCTGCCCGTCCTGGACGCTGGCCAGGCGCAGTCAGCGCTGCACAAAACTTTTCCTAAATAAAATCCTTCGAGTATAAATGAAATGCAAACTTTTTTCCGGTAAGCTGACGTTCTAATTGTTTGCAGTCCGGTTTTTCTAGGGTTCCTGGCCTGCTTCATTGTTGTTGTTGTTGTTGTTGCTGTCGCTTCTACCTATCTGTTCTATTTGCTGTGCTGTTGTTGTTATTCCAGACTATCTGCCATAGCTGAGTTTGGCACTATGCTGATTGTACCCAAAAGGCAAATACAGATTTTACTGGGTATATTAGCTAACAAAAGTTCTTCATGATAATGAGATTAAATATGACTGGAGTTTGCTGATAAAAAGTTGTTTTTTAATTTTAAAAATATGTTGAAGTAGCTGAAAAATTAGGTATAGTAAGGCAGAGTACGATCTATTAAGTCTTAGTCTTAGCTAGTTTTGGGTAGGTTGAGTTAGCCTTGCTTTTGCCTACTCCAAGATAACTGCTTGTTAATTATAATATAAATATAAAAATTTTAATTTTTCTTTTTACTTGTGTCTTCTCTAAGCACAATAATAAATATATTTTCATCAAAAAAAATATATACAAAATAAATAGATTATTTTACTTTTTTAAATTTATTTATTTATTTAAATTTTTTTTATATTTTGTATATTTTATTTTCTACATCTCTTTCAATTTTTTTAACTACCCTGCCCAACTGTTCTATAGAGTATATACTTTTGTTGAGTATGCACCGCTTCTATTCACTTATTTGTTTTAATAGTCGGTATTTTTTTCTTTAGCTAACGGCCAACTTAGTTTTTTAAATAATTTAGAACGAATTTGTGCTGCTGCTGCTGTTGTTGTCGGAGGGAAGCGGGAGGAAAGAAAAACTTTAAATGAAAACCTAATGAGCAGCAGTAAGTCGGGCAACTGCTTAAATATTAAAGAGCCAAAGCGCTGCAATGGCCACGATGCGTTTACGTGCTCGCGCCAACATAATTGCGCTTAAAATCGTTTAAGTGTTTTATAATCCGCCCTTTTTTGTGGCCGCATCAAAGAAGGGGATCCAAAAAAAGTTAAAAAAAAAAAACAAAACGAACGGAACGGAAAAAGCTGAAATGGCTTTTTAAAGCATTTACCATGGCGGCAGCTTCCTACATGCCACATGTGTGAATGTGTGAGTGTGTGCATGTGTGTGTATGTGTGAGTCTGTATGTATTTGTGCTGGTCAGTTAAGTCTACGCACATATATAGAAGCGCACGCAAAGCCCTCATCGAAAGCCTCATGCGATGCGGTTCACACACTCAAGCATACACCAGCATACACACACACACACACACACACTCACAACAAACACACATCTGGGCCATTAAAAATTGTGCAAATTTCTGCGCGTTGCTTGGGTTTTATGTTTTTTTTTTGGAACGATTTTGCTTGCGGCCACAACATGAACATGTGCCACGCCCACCAAAGCCACCGCCCCCAGCGATGATTGCCGAGCAAAGTTACTGGCATTTAAGTGGGTTAATTACGACAGAGATTTGCGGTAGGCAGGCAAGAAATTATCTGGAAATTTATATTTTAAATTTATACCAAAAATAAATCGCTTGGCATTAAAAAATTACAAATTTAATAATGGGATTATTAGCAGTTGTTAAGCGAAAGCTTGGACAGCTGTGGTTGGGCTTGAAAGCCTCTTAAATATAAGATGATCAATGAAGGATAATACTATTTCCGTAAACCACTCTTCAACAGCTGCATAAGTTATCTACTATATTAAGCTTTTAAAATATGCAATAAACGAAATTCCTGCTCAGTTGTCAATACGCATTTAACTCGTTAAGTCGATCGTCATCCGAGCAGCAATGCAAAGGAATTTTGTCCCACTCTTGCAAAAATCAGACGAAACCATAGCAACCATCATTGCAGAAGACCCAGAAATGTCGATACGTAGTCAACGCTTGAGATGCTAATTGCCAGAATAAAAACTTACATATTGAACGTTTAAAGCATTCTCATTCTTTAATACATAATTGGCATGGATAGGACCTCAAAACAAAATCGAAAATAATGCAATATCTCAAACCGTTTTTTTGATATGTAACTTTATTTTCCCATTGCTCTGGTTTGGTCAATCGTTATTTATTAAATTAAAAAATATAGTTATTTTTTATATGTAAAACTGACCTAAATACATTCAATTATTAGCTTCAAATTCAAAATATTCTTATACAAAATATACCCAAGTTTCTTCACTTATTCGTATCTACACCGAAAATCAGCTATCAGATATAATTTAACCACCGACACAAGCCACTGCCAATTATTTTTGTGATCTTTGGTCGACAGCAAACTTTATGTACACACATTTCCGCTCTACATACACGGCTGACACAGAAGTTCTTAAAGCATTGAGGTCAGGTGTGCGTGTGTTGAGTTGTGAGTGTGTGTGGGCGTGTGGGTGTTGAACTCTTTTGCAGCCCTAAATGCATTTTCTTTATCACACCACTCAAAGACCGCACAGAGCTGGAGTCTATAGTACACCTGTATCTGGCCCAAAGCGCTTTGAAAACCACTTGCAACACCACTTGCGGCCATTGAGAAAAAGTTGCCACTTTAAGAAGAACTTAAGACACTCAAGTGCCAGCCTCATGCACACAAATGAACAGATATATGTATGTATTAATATAATATATAGGTGTGTATATGTGTGTGTATGTTTGTGCGTGTGTTAACATACAAACCAGTTTCAACAGCTGCCATCGCCTCTATGCAAATGTTAAAGCCACTTAGGCGGTTAAAGCCGAGGCTGAGGCTGAGGCTGCGTCTCAGCTTCATGCATGTATATACGCACCTGTAAGAGACAAACAAACAGAGAAATAAGCAAACAAACAAACTTACATATAGAATAATGTCGGCATGTTGCGGTTAGTTTCTATGAATATGTATATGATATGCTGCTGAGTGCATACGATTGAAGTCCATATAAAGTACTTAAATGTGTTTTTGTGCAACTAGAATTATGCTTATTTAAATGACAAACAAATAAGACGACACAGACGGAGACTCGTTGGCAAGCCAAGTATCTTTTATATGTTATACCTCAAGCTATGTAGCTCGGCAACCGATGACAAGTTTTTGCCCTGCGGTGTCATGTGAGCCGCTTAAATCTTTAGAAAATATCTAAATTGTTCTCTATGGCTTTTGTGTAAACTGTCTGACTCAGACAATGGCTCTGCCATGCCAAAGATACATATGTGCATGTTAGTGTGTGTGTGTGTGCCTGTGTGTTTATATATGTGTTTGTTTATATCTATCTCTGTCTGTGTGTGACATGCATTATACTGTTTTTGACTTTGCCACAAAACTACGCAAAAATGTTGTTGCCTGTGAAACGAACTCCATTGTAAGGGACACACATACGTACACTAGGGGCTTTGGCTGCTGTGACAAATGAAATTTATAGTTCTCCGGTTCAAAACTGCAACGTTGCAAATCTCTGTGTGTAGCAAATCTAATTCATCATTCAAATTAGCAACACAGAACTTTTTTATTGCACTATTCTATGCTGCAATGACACGAGCTGTACAAGCACTAAGAATCTAAATTTGAATGGAACTGAGGCTTTATAAGCTAAATTGTTCACTCACTGCATGCAAAAGCTTTACAAGCTGCGCTTTGTGAGAATATTAAAGCTACTTAAGTACGAAAGCTTTTGAGCTTTTTTTTAATTAATCCATACAAGCCAGTTATATTCGAAATTTAATCTTTTATACCTTAGTGTATGACATCTGCAGAAAAGTAGATATATTTATTTGTATTTCAGTTGGATTAAGTGAAAGGTTGATTAATTATTTTTTTGTAAGCCTTCACTG